TTGCATATTGGGGACATGAGAATGTATATAAATAGATTGATTGTGTACCGACCTAGCTTTGGCACCCAAGTATCCTTAAAATATTGCATAAAGGAAATCTGATCGACAAAATCCAGCAAGAACTCTTCAAGAGAGACTGCAATATCCACTCCACCCCAAATGCCATACACGATTTGACCCAAACGCTTAAACATCTCCCTTTGAACTTCGATGTTGCTACATTTCTTAACAATGTGCCTCAGCCATGACCTACGGACACGCCAGAGGGAGAACAGCACAGGGCAGGAAAATGTCTCCCTAAAAATTAGTCAACTCCAATCAGTAAGAGACGAAATAATTCAAAAGATCTAGAAATTTAAACACATGCAAACATAATGCCTTACCTTATCGGGTCAACATCAATGGCTGCATCGTCGATTAAAAACCCATTGACTTTCCACCCGGAGTCAACCGAGCAAACTCGATCAAGTAAAGCTTTCATCCAGCTGGCTACATCTGGCTTTGCAACACTACGAGTAATGATCCATGCAACAGGGAGTGCATGCTGCCTCGAGTCGAACACAAGAAGTGTGCACAAAGGATACTGCATTTTTGCCATTAAATCATAATATTAAAAAACTACACTTTTCTATTTCTTCAGTGACATTGCATAAACCTGATTTTACCTTCAGTCGCTTAATCCCGAATGTCGAATCAGCTGCTATCATATTCCGGTGGCCAAAACGGACCATCTGTTGCAACTGCCACTCTGTTTGTATCCCCAAAACAAAAGGCTCGTTTTCGGTCGAGTCTCGATAGAAGAAAACAGATTTCTTGTTTCGTTCGACCCATAGCCGGATGCTAGCCTGGTCATCAAGATCCAGCTCGTGAGTCGAGTGTTTGATAATCGTGCCCAGTTTCTGTACATACCGAGTGGCGAGGCTTTCAGCCCTTGCATCCGAGTCACCATATCGTTTTATTCCTTCGATGTGTTTTTCCAGAACATTCTCTTCGGGGATTCCGAGGTATATCATGGACATGGTTTGCTGTTGAATCTCACTGCATATGTACGGAACCTTCTTGGCCCCGGGCCCTATAGCGTCCCTGTCAAGGGGCCCGTGGCAGATGAAGCCCGATTTGTTGACGTGGCGCCTCTCGTTGAATATTAGGAGTGCAAGGGATGGGCGGGAATAGAGACGCTTCACGACAAAATGGCACGTGCAGCCGCGCATGGATTGAGGCCTGGCTGCACGGTTTCGGGTGTTTAGCCGATATCTTCTGCTTGGCAATATACCTCCGCCTTCTCCGTAGTTTTCAGGCCCAAAAGAACACCAGTACCTTCAGATTTGGAAAAGTCAACACAAATATGGGATAAAAAGGTGATGTATAGTGTCTTCTGATGTATACGTGTACAATCAGTCTAATAATGGAAAGAGAAGAGAATGGATAGTGTATGGGGAGTCTTGTAAATTTCTTCCATGTATAGTTAGATTAGATTTCTCTCTTTTGCTCAGCTATAAAGGGGTTCAGTGATGTTAACACTGGATACAAGCAAATGATCAAGTCTCAGACATTTCAGTGTTGCAATATAAGTCGTCACGCACAAAACTGACCAATTAAGAGAAAATAGTTGAAACAAATAAATAATTTGACAATGGTTAATATTTATTATCCAAATTCATTTTTGCACTTTTCCTGCAGTTTGTTTAGAATCTGCTACATAACTACTCCCTCAGTTTGAAATTAAATGTATTTTTAAGTTTTGAGGTAGGAATTAAGGCAGAGTATAAAATATGATTGTTTCCTATTTCCCAAGTATTTTTGTTTTCAATACAGCCCTCTCTCTCAATCTAATTATGACAACATGATATTATATTTTTCATTCCATGTAATTAGGCATGGAAATTGAAGAATTGCATAGACAAAAATGCCTCCATTCAAATTTTCAAGATAAATAAGATAATGTACTTACTTGCCTTGGAAAACTAGGAATAGAAATAATTTAGATCAAGAGAATTAGCCTAAAAATGCATATAATTCGGGATGGAGGGAGTATGTGTTACTGAGGCTAAAAGCAAGACAACAAACTGTAGATGCAATTATTAACATTACCAATGCAAACACAAATACATCGAACACTGTAAATCTACATAAGAATAGAAGGAGAATGAGCACATTCAGACATTTTATGATTCACAAATGCTTATCTTAGGCAGGTCAAACCATCGTACTAGACCAAAAAAAACATACGCATACAGTAAAATGTTGTACTTTACAAAATGAGTTGCAGTTATTTTATGTTTTCCAAAAGAATGACATCTCATTGTGGAAATGAGCATTGCTGTTGAAAAAGTATGTTTGTCGGACGGAACAGGCTGCCTAACACTTGAGCAACTGTTGATGGTTTTGTAGTCAATAACAAACTCGAACCCACACAGCTTTAAATCCCATTTTTGAAAGATGGTGATCACAAACAACTAAATCAGTGCAAAACAAGGCTCTTGAATATTCTTGAACTGTGTAAACTCATGAACAAAGGAACAAAGGCTTATTGAAGTACGCTACTTACATCCTGTACTCCAAATAATCATCATTCTTGAATTCCTTTAAGCTCCCTCTCGCCCTTTTTCTTCCCCTCTCAATGTGAAATCTAGTCGGGCACTCGACCTTAGAACACTCTCCAATGATAAAGGCATCAGCTCTATCATAAGGAATTAGTGCCACATCATCACATCTGTCTGCACTTCCAAACTTGACCCAATTCAAATCAGCTGACGAGAAGTCTTCTCCTGGAGGATCTTGCACCGGAAGATTATCAATGGACTCGATTATATCCATAAGCTTCAGTTGTTGTCCTTTTTAGTGGATAAAATCATATTACCGTCGAAAACCCACTTAGTATTCACAGAACAAAACTGCACAAATGATAAATAAAAGAACAGAAATTCAATTTTAATATTTCGGCAGAAAAAAACTTTTTCAGCTCCTCTATGCTGTTTTCTATCATAGCTAACTTAAATTCCAATCATCAAGATTTCTACAACAAGCGCTGCTTCAAAACGATACAATGAAGGCTCACAAGGCATAACTTGTATCTCAAAGAAAGAGAATCACGCGCAAGAGAGGAAATAAAAACTAAACATAATTCAGGTTCTACAACAACGACAATTTGTCAACTGAAGTACAGAACCAGAAATGGGAGACCAATAATACGATCTCACATTCAAATTGTGCGACAGGGCTGTCGATGAAGGAGGTAATCAAAGAAATGACCTGATAAACGCTGACAAATGGAAACAAACTATCACGCAAAACAAGAATCACCAGGTACAAACTCAGAAAGCTTGAAAGAAAGCCGCGATAAATTATAGAAAAAGGCCTAAACGGATTCAGGGAGAAGACTCTGGACCGAGAACTTACAGCTGTTGAGAAAAATTACAGGTGCTCCATGGTAAACAGTGCTCAAACAATGGAGAGTATGAGGAGAAAAGGGCTTATGATGAAATGAAAAACCTTGCCCCATTGTATATATTTTTTATGGCTGAATTGCACATAAAATCTTTACCTTTTACCTTTTGTGTAATTCTAAATAATTTTTTTTTTTTTTTTTTTTTTTTTTTTTTTT